ATTTACACATATGTTAGAATCTTTGACATTGTGTCCTAGGGAACTGAAGATGTTCATTGTTTTAAGATATTTTTTCCTGTATGTTTTCCAGATTAGATAATTTCTATTGATTTATCTTCAGGTTCACAAACTCTTTCCTTTTCTTCTTCAGTGTGCTGTAAAGCACATCCTGTCATTTTTTAAATTTCAGATCAGTATTTTTCAACTCTATGATTTCCATTTTGTTCTTTTTATAGTTTCTATTTGTATGCATTCATTACAAACATATTATCCTTTACATTCTTCAATATAGTTAAAATTGCTATTTTAAAATCCTTTCCTGCTAATTATAACATCTGTGTTATTGCAGAATGAGTCTCCAATAATTGTCTTCTTTTGAGTATGGTTCATTTTTTTTCTCTTTTTTATGTCTAGTAAGTTAAGATTCTATCTTAGACATTGTGAATAATGCATTTTAGACTCTGTATTCTGTTATATTTCTCTGAAGAGTGCTGATTTATCTTTTTTTAAAGGAGGCAGTTAACTTGGCTGGACTAAAACTTCAAACTCTGACTCTAGAGGAGACCCTTTAAAATATCTCACTTTTATCTGATGATCCTCTGACAGTGCTTAGTTACTTAGAAAATAGTTTGATTTTTATAAAGTTTACTGTTGGCAGTTCCACTAGGCTGTACCAGAAGCTTCACGTAGTCTGTCCTTCACATTTGCTTTACCCTGTTATCTAATCGTTCCTATAATGTCATTCCATCAGAATTAAGGGACTGCCGTATAGTTCTGGAATACCGAAAACAAGGCCAATTTTCATGTCTTGTTTTTATATGCAGGACTTTGCATTTCTAAGCCATATATAATCTCCTTATTGGAGCAAGGGAAAGAGCCCTGGAAAGTGAAGAGTGAGATGACAAGAGGCCCATTCCTGGGTGAGTATGGGAGAACCAGATAGGGGAATCCATTGGAGGTAATGTTTTCATCCATTGTCAAAGGGGATACCTCCTCACTTATGTTTCCTAGAAATCCTTCTCAAGTTTTCCAGGCAAGGGGAAGAAAACCAAAGCTTTAGTACTTAGCATAGGCTCCCCAATTATCTTCTCTTCTGCTTGACTCTCATCTCTCTCATAACACATTTTGCAAAAAATCTGAATCTAGCTCCTTCCCATCCCCTGTTTCCCTTTGCCATGCAGGTTTATATAAACCTCTCTGTTTCTTAATTCTTAACACCAAAATTAGGAGCTTCTTGCAAATCAGAACATGCCTTGCTGATTTGAAATTCAACCCCTACAAGCTCTGTATGGTCCAAACCCTACAAGTCCCTGTATAGTCTGTTCCTTTCTACCTTTCCAACTTCATCTTCTATCACTTTTTATCTTTTTTTACTGTACTTTAGTCCACAGTTTTCTAAACTCTGTGAGGTACCCTGATATGCTTCAAATGAGTTAAAGGTATGCCAAGATATGGAAAGACCATATGGAGCCAGAGGCAGTCTTAGGGTAGGAAGCTTGTTCACAACTCAAAAGCCTTTCTTACCTGCTATAGTAGATTTGATCTCTCCAATCTCTGAACTTTTATGTCAGTTTTACTTTTTACCACATGGACTCTCACGTAATGTTTCATATTTTCTTCTTCTCAAATTATTTTCTTTGCCGATCTTGTCATTATACTTACTTTCAAAACTTCTAGAGAACAGGTCTGTATTTCATTGCTTTCATTTCACTAATATTTGACACATAGTAGATAACTGCTTAGGAGGCATTGAATTATTTGACTATTTGCTATGGATAAGATAGAATAGGAAAGCACTTTCTCATTTATATTTCTTAATCCCACCTTTGCCCTAAGGTTTTCTCATAGCATCACCTTTTCATTGCAAATTTCTTCTTTATGTGTTTACTGAGAACTTCTTATATATGCCCAAGTTTGTGCTATATATGTTAAGTGACTTAGCAGCAATATTTAAGGCACATTCATTTCTTCCTCAAAGTTTATACACCCTAGCTTATGAGCTAAGAAAAATACCTCATGTGGCAGTTAAATAAGAACACAATTAATAATGTTGATACGAACTTACATATCATTATAAAACTAATTTCTTCAAAAACAGGAAGTATTTTAGCCCAATAAGAAGTGGCCTGAGAAGTGATGCTTCTGGTAGGCTGGTGAAAGCAAGAAGATAAGTGGAACAATCCCTTAATATACAGCCTGAGGTGGCGGGGCCGAGATGGCAGAGTAGTCAGACTATTCTGGTGGACCCTCTTACAACAAAGACCCGAAAAAACAAGTGATTTGATTATATGTGACAATCTGGGAGCCCTGAACATCAAAGGCAAAGTTGAGGAACCGGACTGAGTGGCAGGAGGAGGGAGAGACGGTTCGGAAGCAACGAGGAGTTGCCAGACCTGACCCAGCAAGAGCCTGAGCCCTTCAGGACTGATCAGTTTGGGGATGAGCGGTGAGGCAAGCAAGCATCGGTGCTCGGAAGGTGTGTTACACACAGGGAGAGACCCAGCCACTGAGACTCTACTTGGTCACGCAGAACTAGTGAGAAGCAGCCCTCGATCGCTGAAAGATAAGCATTTGCGTCCGGCCTACTGCATGTATCCAAAACACCCTGCTCTGGGAAAAACCTCTCTCCCATTTACCTCCCCACTCCCTGCTCTGCACTGGATCCTGGACCAGCTTCAGCAATTGCCAAGTCCCCTGGGCTGGAAGTAGGATCTGTCATGCCCTGAGCCATTCCCCCGGCCTTAGAGATGGAACAAATTAACAAACAGAAAATATAAACTGCCAGCTCCCCTAAGCCAGGAACTCAGGGTAGGCACACC